TTAAGGTTATATGATGAAATAATATATGTAAATGCTAAGGACCAGCACTCACACTCATTAAAGGCTTGTGAAGGAGGAAAAGGAGAGGGAGGAGGGGAGGAGGAGGAAAAAGGGAGGAAGAGGAGGGGAAGGAACTTTGGGGTCAGTCCTCGGTTCAAATCTCTGCTCAACCGCTTGCTTGGCTGTGTGACATCAGGCAAGTTCCTTAACCTCTCTGACTCACCGTTTTCTCCTCCGTAAAATAGGGATAATACTGTCTACCTTGCAAAAAGGATCTTAGTTAGGATAACAGGTGAGAAAGAGCCTGAGGGGAGGGGGAAGGGTAAGCTGTGACAAAGCGAGAGAGTGGCATGGACATATATACACTACCAAATGTAAGGTAGATAGCTAGTGGGAAGCAGCCGCATAGCACAGGGAGATCAGCTCGGTGCTTTGTGACCACCTAGAGGGGTGGGATAGGGAGGGTGGGAGGGAGGGAGACGCAAGAGGGAAGAGATATGGGAACATGTGTATATGTATAACTGATTCACTTTGTTATAAAGCAGAAACTAACACACCATTGTAAAGCAATTATACTCCAATAAAGATGTTAAAAAAAAAAAAAAGAGCCTGACACTTAGCTTGCCAACTCTAGGGTATTTAAGAAGTGGGCCTGAAATCACAGCCACTGATTTCTTAGTCCTGAATGGCACTTAGGGAAAAATCTGGTCTACTTTCTAATCTTCCTCGATCGCCCAGCTCTGCCACTCTGGATGGGTGAACACGCTAAAGCAAAGAGAGGCCAGTTTAGAGGGAGCCAGGCCTCCCATTGCACCCCCATCCACGGGAACAATGCTGTCCTTCACCACTTCCAAGGGGAGGCTGTTAAGCTCCTGCAAGCCAACTGTGTTCTCTCTGGACAAAGGAGATGGGAGAGCCAGGCTTATCTTTCCCTGGACCCAAGCAATACCCCTGGCTCAACAGTATGGCTTGTGGGTAGAATTTCCATCTGCTAAGGAGACCCTAAAGCACTAGCCCCTGACATCTTAGGACCCTCCATAAAAGGCAAGTTATTTTAAGCCTCTCTTGGACCCAAGGTCTGAGTAAACGAAGCAAATGGCTTCGGGACAAGAAAGGTTTTTAAGGCCTCTCGTTCTGCCAGAAACACACTTAAAATCTAAAAAATTTAAAACTCACAACCTCTCGCGGGTTCACTTTGTGCTGCTGGGCTTTGGTTTAGAGGAAGACAAAGCAAAACCCCAAACCCTCAAATCAATGGTTCACGACAAATGCTTGCTGCCTTCCACCCTGTCCCGGGCAGTACAAGGACTGAGTGCCAGTGGGAAGAAGCAGTCAACTCCACTTTCCTGCCAAAGATCAGGCAGACAGAGACCAATGTTGAAATCTGTTTCTTTTTTTAACAAGGAATGGGGCAGGGAAGCTAGCCAAGGAGCAGGTTTGCCTGAGGTCCCCACCAAGCATCCATGAACAAAACCAGGGTACCACAGGCGCAAGAGAGGGGAGGCGCTGAGGGAAGCAGGGCAGGCTAGTCCCGGAAAGCACCCCAAAATTGAGGGTGCAGGATTAGGACCCCACAGGATTAGTCTCCCAGTAGTTTCTGTGTCAGAACTTGGGAGTCAAACGTGGGGTCAGGCATTCAGGTACATGCATCTACCAACAGAGCACCAAGCCCACAACTCGCCCCCTGAAACAGAAAAGCTGCACCCCCTCCCCCAGCCCACCCTACCATCTTACTTCTGCTGGGCAGATCCTCTTGGCCCAGGCCGTTGGAGGGAGCTAGTAGGGTGCTGCCACCCTCATCCAAGGTCAGGATGAGGGGAACGTCGTCATCTAAACTCACGGCCATGTTCTCCTCTCCTATAGCCCTCAGGATGTGATGTCCAGAGCTTTAAGTAGTCTCTGCTTTGAGCTCCAGTTCAAAGCCACTGGCCCAGAGGTGCTTCTTAGAAACTCCTCCATCAGTGGCATCTTCTAGGGTTTGGGGGATTAAAAAAAAAAAAAAAGGACAATTATCAAAATACAACCACTACTGATGAAAATGTTCTGGAATTAGATAGTGGTGATGGGTACATAACCTTACAAATATACTAAAAACCACAGAATGGTACCCTTTAAGATGTATGATGGATCTTATAGTAACGTGAATTATATTTCAATAAAAAAGAGTATTGCAGTATAATAGCACTAAAATTCTGTGCAAGATTAAATACTGAAAAGTTAAGGGTAATTATGTTTGGAGATTGGGATTATGGCTAATATGTTCCCCCTCTACCCTTCTTAACCCTTGTTTGTGTGTGAATTTTCAGAGGTTTCAAAGACTTAAAAATATATATACATATACAACCATTCAAACAATAGTAGTTAATACTCAGTGAGCGCTTACTATATGCTGGGGCTCTTCTAGCAATTTTTAAGTAAAGCTGATTGAAACTTCGTAATAGATAAGTAGGATTATTATCCCCCACTACAGAGGGGGGGACTTAAGGCTTAACTTAGAGAAGTTAAGTAATTTACTTGTCCAAGAACCCACAGCTGCAAAGCCAAGCTTTGAACTACACAATCTGACTCCAGACCTGTGCTCCCCGCCAGCATGCTACAATTCCTCCATGTCCCAGCCCTGGTATTTAGGCAGCACTTAGCTGCAATGACCTATAAAGAGTTAGTGTGCCAGGTCATCTAGATTTGCCCATATCACTCTTATTACTCTCCTAGATTTAGGTATTTGGGGAGGAAGGGAAAGAGACTAGAATATTTTTTTAAGTGATGTCCGGAGTCACACAGCAAAAACGCTCATTCTGAACTCCCAATTCAAAACGGTCAGAACTAGCCTGTTACAGTTCCTATTTATAAACATTCCCATTTCCGCTGAGGAGGACCGAAAGAAAAGCAAACACTCAGCAGATCTAACAGCAGACCTTTGAACTTGAAAACAGCAGCAGGTTCCTTCCTCAAACTGCTGTATTCTGGTCTCGATCAAGTTTGCCTCCAGACTAACCCACTGAATGGCAACCCATCAATTTACTTCCTTCACGAATCACCAGGACAATCCAGGGCAGGCCCCTGTGCGTCAGTATCTTCTTAAAATTAGGCAGTAAAAGTGAGCACCATTCTTTGCTGCTAAGCCTGTAGCGGTCTGCCCAGTAAACTTCCTGCGAGATTTTTTTTTAAAGTTTCCTCCAGATCTGGGGATTAATTTCACTTTTAAATCTCAGTAGTGGGAAGACAGAAAAGGAAATTCCAAATGAGATGTTACCATTTGGCTGTCTTAAGCATTATATGTTTTATTTTTTTTTCTTTTTGGCTTAACTTTTTATCACAGCTATTTTCAAACACACTCAAACGTAGAGAGAATATATAAATGAACTTCCCTGTGTCGATCACTCAGCTTTGACAATTATTAACATCTTGTCATTCTCTCCCATATTTATTTTGAAGGCTGGAGAGTCTATTAACTTTCTCAACTCATCAAGGAGAGCTTTTTTAATTGTATCATTGTTATCAAAAGAGCTACTGTTTTTTATTTTAACTGTATAATATATGACTGGTTGCTTGCAATGCATGCATTAGTTCTGTGGACCTCAGCCGGGGTGATTCCCCTGCCACACACACACATTAGCAATGTATGGAGACATTTCTGATTGTCACAAGTAGGGGGTAATAGTAGGTAGAGGCCAGGGATGCCTGGAAACATCCTACCATACACAGGTGAGACCCACCACAACATAGAAATATGTGGCTCAAAATGTGAATAGTACTGCTGTTAGGAAATCTTACTTAGCTAACGTCCCCACTTCACAGATGAGGAAACCGAGTCTTAGCAGGGTTAACTTAACCTGCTTCTTGTAAATAAACAGCAAGGAAGTGACAGAGTCCAAATTTCAACCCAGGCAGTCTGAATTCAGGGACCCTCCCCACTTAACCATTACCCTTCATCTCTTCCCAGACGGTCCCCTCATCTGAATTCAAACCCATTATTTTACAGAGAGGGAAAAGTGAGGCCCAGAGTAGAGAAGGGAAGCACTTGCCCAGGGTCACAGTGCTTCTCCCTCTGCTGAGGAGCCAGAAGGGAAGGGTCACCCCTAGAGACAGGTCCTAAGGAAAGAGGGCAGGCAGGCTCTTGTGGGGTGGGTCGCCTGAGGGCGCCAGGGAGACAAGCAGACGAGGGAGGAGGGTAACGAAGAGGAGTGCGGGCGCCTGCTCCACGTGCTCGTCCTTGCGTCCCTTCTCCCCGCCCCGGGCTTCCCCGGGGGATCCCTACCTGCGGTCCCCGCAACCAGGGCTGCAGGGAGAGAAAAGCGGCGATGACTTCCCCGCAGGCCTCTTGGCCCTACCTGCCCGCCTCCCACGTTCCAATACCCTCACGCCGAGCCCCCTGACCCCTGACCCCTGCCCTCTCCATCAGGCCAACCCTCACACCCCCTGAATTCTTACATGCGCCGCCCCAGCAACCCGGACCGCGCGCCGGGGTCCGCACCGCGCAGCCCAGCCCTCCGGCGCCGCCGCCAAAGCCACGAGCCCGGAACTGTTGCAGCTGCAGCAGCCGCCGCAGCCAACGCCACTTCAGCCGCTGCCACCACAGCAGCTGCGCCAGCTCTCCCATCCACCGCCTACTGTCCCTTCCACCCCACCGGCCCCGCCCCATTTTCGCTTCACCGCTGCCTATTGGCTACCTCAGCTGTTATGATGAGCTCTGATTGGTCAAGTCTTACGTCCTTCCCCAGTTCTTGCCTGCTGCTAATGCAGGACTCCCTGCCTCCCTCCTTGAGAAGGGGCGGGACGAATAAGCTCCGCCCCTTTCCCTTCCGTTTCTCCCCGCCTTACTCGGTCAGCCCAACCCAGAGGGAGGCCCGAGTCTTCCAATTGGTGGAGGGTTATAGAGACGGTGCTTCTGATTGGTAAATCCTCAGGAGGTGGAACGAACTGAGCGGAATAAGGAATTTAATGGTGAAAAAGAAAGTCAATCAGACGCTGAGTCCCGCCTTCTGAGATTGGCCGGTAACCTAGCAACGCAGTCACCTCGGTGGTTACCACGGATAGAAAAACCTGAAGCCCTCGGAGCAGGTGAATGACTTTGTGGGGAAGGGCTGGGAATGATGAAGAGATGTTGAATGGGGTCTAGCCCTCAATCCTTTGGCTCTCTGAGGAATCAGTAGCCCCCCACCGTGAGCCCGTCCCCGACTCAGGATCCTGCTCTCCAGCCCCTGCCTCAGTTTGGACCTCCCTCTCAACCCCCTGCAAGGACTACTGGGCATCCTCTTCTCTGCCCCTCCACTTGTCCACTTCCTCATCCGTAAAACGTGGATGATACTAGTCAAGTGGAGTCGCATCAAAGTTAACTACTTTAAAGTCAAACACAGGTGCTGGGAGTGAGAGTGTAGTTTATAAGTCCGCTACCATTCCACCCAACGGCCTATATATACATCCCAGGGTGAGCATCCAATGAAAGTGAGTGTTTAAATCGGGTAATTTTGATTATACCAATTTTGGCCTTTTGTGCTAACTTTAGAACTTAACTCCCGTCCCCGTCCTTGAAATATGATTTCATTTACATACTTAAGACAAAGGGTTTGTTGTGAGGGTTAACTAAGGCAGAAAGTAGAATAGTGGTTGCCAGGGGCTGGGGGGAGGGGAAAACGAGGAGTTATTTAATAGGTACAGAGTTTCAATTTGAGATGATGAAAAAGTTCTGGAAGAGGTGGATGGTGGTGACGGTTGCACATAGATGTGAATGTAACAATTTAATGCCACTGAATTTAAAATGGTTACAATGGTAAACTTTGTTATGTATATTTTACCACAATAATAATTTTTAAAAGCAACTATAAAGCTGGACAAAACCATCTAGTGCTATGTTAGCACAGTGAAAATCAACCGAAGTCATACAACGAACTGAGAATTTTTATTCATAAAACCACCGAACTTCAAGTTTGTGCTATACTTACCTGAGACTTCTCTGATTTCCCCACCCCCAGTTCTATGGGCATAATAGTTCAACCAGGGTGGGTAGCCCCCTGAATACCAACAGCTTCACTGTTACTGTCTGATGGGGCTCACTTGGTTTGAAGGAGTACTGGCTAAAGTGGCAATCTTGGTGGGAAGAGAATAGGGGAGGCGGCAGCTCTAGCAGTCCAAGGTTGTAATCCTATTTGGCACAAACAATGGAGTGAAAGCTTGGAGTTCCTGGGGAGTGAGGCAGCCATAGGGGACCTGATGAGCTCTGTGTATATCTTGGTTGACTAGAGGTTATGCGCATGTGTAGCAGAGACCAGAGCAGGCCCAAGCCACTTAATCCCTGGCCGTTGGAGCCTGTGTAGATGTGCTGAGTGCGTGCTGCACTTTCCACGGGAGAACAGAAGCCTTACTGGCTCAAAGTTTGAGTACAACCTCGGACTGACTTTTGGCTGAATATTAAACTATGTGGATACAGAGGGGACCCCTAGGAAGCCAGGTTTAAAAATAAAAATATGAAAAAACAATTAAGCAGAGACATCAGTAGCTGTACATTGTGGAGGAGACCGACTTGACAGATTTAGTCCAGGAAGTAAATTACCAAACACCCAAGCAAAACAAGAACAACAATCATTAGGAAGGAAAAAAATACCGAGTTGCTACAAAAAAAAAAAATCTTCCCTCTAAAATTTCCAGTGTTCAGTAAAAATTGTGAGACGTGTGTAAACGTACTCAGGAAAAAAAAGCAGTCAACAGAAAGTGTCTCTATGTGTCCCTAGATGTTGGCTTTAGCAGACAAAGGCTTCAAAGAAGCTATTATAAATATGTTCAAAGAACTAAAGGAAGCCATGTTTAAATAATTTTAAAAATGTCGGATAACAATGACCCATCAACTAGAAAATATTTAGTATTTCAGAATAGACTGTGATAAATTAAGATGCACATTATAATCCCTAAGTCAGCCACTAAGAAAACAATTCAAAAAAATTTTTTTAAATCAACAGAAGAATCAAAAGAGTAGACTAAGAATATTTATTTAACACAATAAAAGGTATTAACGAAATAACACAGGAACAAAACATGAGATGAGATGAATAAAAAAACATAGGAAAATGGCAGATGTAAATCCAACTATCTGAATAATTTAATGTAAATTATTAAATGTAAATGCAAAAAACACTTCAATCAAAAGGCAGAGCTTGCCAGACTAGATTTAAAAAGTGAGACTGAACTATATGCCGCCTACAAGAGACTCACCTTAGATTCAAAGACACAAAGGAGTTGAAAGTGAAAAATTGGAATTCATGCAAAGAGTAAGCATGAGAGAGCTGGAGAGGCTATATTGCTATCAGAAAATATTGATCTTAAGACAAAAAATATTACTAGAACAAAGAGGGACATTTTATATTGATAGGAAGGTCAGTACATCAGGAAGATATAGCTAGACTGACCAAGAAAGTAAAAGACACAAATTACCAAAATCAGAACTGCAGAAACTTAAAGAATTATAAGGAATATTATGAACAACTTCATGCCAAAAAAAGACAACTTAGATAAAATGAATGAATTCCTAGAAATACAAATTATTAAAATTGACCCAAGAATAAAGAGAAAATTTGAATAGACCTATAACAAGTAAACAGATTGAATTAGAAATAAATAGTCTTCAGGAGTTCCCTGGCGGTCCAGTGGTTAAGACTCAGCACTTTCACTGCCATGGGCCTGGGTTCGATTCCTGGTCTGGGAACTAAGATCCTACAAGCTGTGTGGCGTGGCCAAAAAAACAAATCTTCCCTCAAAGTAAAGCCCAGTGCTAGGTGTCTTCACTGGCGAATTCCAAATAGTTAAAGAAGAAAATAGTGGGAAAGTCAAGAGTGAGAAGGGGTAAGTTCTGAGGTCACTGTTCATGCCTTTTCTGAATATTATAAAGTTGTTAGTAGAAAGTAAAAACCTATCCCACAGTTCCCTTTCCCAGACTTCACCCTCTACCAAGCCTTTTGATTGAAAGAAACAGTAACAGAGGCTGCAGAGTCAGTATCAATATCCTTGCCTCCAGGCTGGATAGGCTGCCCCGGGCATCCCAGCCAGACCTCTGCCCTGGCTCAGGGAGAGGCATCCCTTGGGAACACACTCCAGGCATGGTTAGATATAAATGCCAGAGCTTTAGCTTGGGATTTTCACTTGATTTACAGTAAAAAAAAAAAAAAAAAATTAGGGAATTCCCTGGCAGTTCAGTGGTTAGAACTCCACACCTCCACACTTTCACTGCAGGCAACACGGGTTCAGTCCCTGGTTGGAGAACTAAGATCCTGCAAGCTGCATGGCTTGGCCAAAAAAAAAAAAAAAATTGAATTAAAGGAGTGAGTCTTTCCTGCCTACTCAGTTGCTAAGTTCCCCACATGTACTTCTCTTTTTCCCGAGGAGAAAAGAGCTCTGGGCAATGAGGCTGATGCACTATGTGATTTAGCCCTCAACATATAATCATCATCATCACTCCCCGTTGAAGAAAGCTTTTAACACTCCAAAGGGCTTTCCTGTCTATTAAACCATCCCTTCTCCACTCAGCTCCCTTTTGATGTGGCTAAGACAGGTGTTGTGTCACCAGGTGCCAAGGAGATAAGGGACTTGCCTAGACTTATTCCAAGAGCCCCTGACAGGAGAGAGTCATGCACCCAGGGCTCCTAAGACCCAACTTGTGAATCTGATCTTGATTCTGTAATTGATGGTGGCTTTAGATGGTGCTGAGGTCGGCTCGTCAGACAGAGCTGGGCTAGGCTTGGGCATGCCTTCCTTTGAATCTGGATAGAGCACTGGACTTAGCATGGGGGAGGCCAGGAGTTTTACAGGGAAGCCAAGCTGCTGTGGTCTAGACCAGTGGTTCTCAACCAGGAGCACCCCACCCACACTCCACAGGGACATTTGGCAACGTCTAGAGATATTTCATCTCCAACTGATCAGAGCTAATGGTGGGAGAAGGGTGCTACTGGCATCAAGTGGGTGGAGGCCAGGAATGATGCTAAACATTCTACAAACACACAGGACAGCCTCCACAGGAGAGAATTATCCGACCCAAAATGTCAGTAGTGTGGAGATTGAAAAACCCCGTTCTACACTGGTATTTTCACACAAGACAAGTGCTACACACACACACACACACACACACACACACACACACACACACACACA